TTAGATGGTCTAATGTTGGCTTAAAGGGCTCATAGCTGGTTAGGCTTCCAGTCTAAGTGAGGAAGAAGAAGATTGATGGGAATGAATGAGAAACAAAAGCTGCAACACTCTGTGTTTCTGCTCAGGAGTACGTCCCACTGAAAAAAGTGAGAATTACTTCTGAATAAATTTGCAGAAGCTTTGCCTGCAGGATTGCAAGGATGAAAATGAGGAATAGGTGAAACAGAATTAGTGGAACAATAATAGGGCTCATCCACACATGCTGTTTGCTTCTGTTCAAGAGGTGGTTTTGTCACCCATCGATCCGGGTTTGTTTTACATATCTATTTGACGTTACTGGAGATTTATCTTCTCTTGCTTGGGAATTTTTTGTTGTTTTGCAGCTGGTTTGTGGGATACATCTATTTTTGGAAGGCCAAAGAGCCACCTGCTGGTGGAGCTGTGCAGAGGCTATGAAAGGCAACATCAAGAGAGGGGAAGAGACAGTAGGCATCCTTCAGTCTCGAAAGACTATGGTAGCGTGCTCTGTATGGAGGACTTGGAACAGCGTCTAGTGTGGCTGAGGAGGCCAATTCGAGAGTTACAATCTCTTCCACACTGAAGACAAGGGGGGGGGTAAAGGGAGAGTATGAGTGGGGAGGAGGTGTTGAAACTGAAACTGGAAGAACCCAGATTACATAGAAACTGGCTAGCAGATATAATAATAAACTGCTGGATAGCTCAGTGGTTTAGGTACGTGAATGTTGAGCCAGAGGTTGGGAGTTCAATTCCCCACTGTGCCTCCTTGACAAGGGCTGAGTGATTCCAGATCTACGGGGAAAAGAAACCGCAGATCCAATACACACAACTGTATAGATGAGAAAGTGTGTGTGTTTTTACATGCTGTGGTGTGTGCATTACAATGGTCAGGCATCTGGAAGCTGAGTCATGGCAGCTGGACTTCTTTCCTATTAGATTGAAGCATTTCGCTACTCATCCAAGTAGCTTCTTCAGACACTAAATGTATATGGGTTGTCCCTTATCTGCTACAATGCCACTCCCTGCTAGAAGAGACAGAGCATCATTTGAAGAGGTGGCTGCAAGAACTGCCCTGCCTGTATAGAAGAGGATCTGGGGCAATTGAGAGTCTGGAAGGAAGAGAGGCACTGAAATCAACTGGTCTGTTGTATATAGTTCTAGTACTAAATTCTGAGACAGACTACTCTCCCGCATGGTAATAGCAGACCTTTTAGGCCCCTTTGATGCCCCTTGCCTGTGGAGGGTCTGGTGACCCACACCCATAGCCATCAGCTCCACTTACTAACCTGCTGCACTCTGCTAATAAGATCACCACAAATTTCTACTGTTTTATCATTTCCTGCAGTTCTGCCAGTCAGTCCTCATGTGGACAGGACTATGTCGTATTGGACAAGCAGCTAGGCCCTACTCAGGCATCAATTAATCTGACTTTCTCAACATGCTTAGAGGCAAGCATCTAAACCCATGTAGTCTATTGTCACCTTTTCCCCATCAGGATAGAAGAGTCTCAACAAGAGAGGCTCTTGCTTGAGTGCAGAGCATTCATGCAAGCAGCACGCTCCTCTTCAGGCTCCTGAATAGCCTGAGCAGGACTGTAGTAGTTCAAGATTCTGGTTGTTATCTATAAAGCCTTAATGGTTTGGGACCTCATTACTTATCAGAGTACCTTTCCCTAAGAACATCAGCAGTGCCACCCAATCCTCACAGTCCATGGTCTTATGGGTTGCCATACTGAGAGGCCAAGAAGACACCTACAAGAAATTCAGCCTTCTTGGTTATGGCACCATCCTTAAACAATGGGCTTCTGGTAGAGCTGTACAAGGCCCACTCCCTCTCAGGTTTTAAGAGGATGTTCAATACAGGTCTGTTCACAGAAGCCTTCAAGGGCATCCTCCATTGAGCCTTGACATACTTGTCATCATTTTGTATAGTTTATGTTATATATATTAGATTATATTTTAACTATTTTGATTACTCATTTCTTTATTATTATTTGTCACAATTATAATTGTACACTGTATTATATTATATCATATTGTTTGTCTGTTTATTTATTTATTTATTTATTTATTTATTTATTTATTTATTTATTTATTTATTTATTTATTTATTTATTTATTTATATCCCACCTATCTGGTCAACTAAGGACCACTCTAGGCGGCTAACAGACAAAGAATAATAAAAACAGAAAAGATAGAAAATCAGTGGAAAGGAAAGGAAAAGAACATCAGGAGTTGTCTGATGGGAAGGCCTGCCGAAACATCCATGTCTTCAATTGATTTTTGAAGATACTCAGCGAGGGAGCCCCGCGAATCCCAGGAGGTAGATTGTTCCAGAGGCGAGGAGCCACCGCCGAGAAGGCCCGATTTCTTGTCTTCTCCTTCCAGGCCTCCCTCGGCGTTAGGCTCCTCAGCCTCACCTCCTGGCTCGCACGAGTTACATGGGTAGATCTTGGTGGGAGTAGGCGTTCTGCCAGATATCAAGGCCCTAAACCGTTTAGGGCTTTGTACGTAAGCATCAACACTTTGAGTCGATGCGGAAACGGATGGGCAGCCAATACAATGCTGCCAGAGTGGGCGAAATATGTTGAAATTTTTTCACTCTACTGAGTAATCTGGCCGCCGCATTCTGCACCACCTGTAGTTTCCGCAGCAACCTCAAAGGCAGCCCCACGTAGAGCGCATTACAGTGGTCTACTCAATATTAAATTATTAACTGGTTCTTTACAACTATAGACAAAAACAATTCTTTATTAGATAAACCTCTCTGTTTATTACACTATGTCTTCAGCAACCCCAACTCAAAACTGTGGTTTGGTAGTGATAAAGTGCCAAACAGTGTCATACTGAGCTCAGTACATGTAGTCAGCATAGCCACTCAGTTCACCCATTGGCAACAAGACTACGCATCAACCTATGATGAACCTTAAAAGCACATTTGCCTCAGGGCCAGAGGGTCTGAGAAAATAAATATTATTAAATAGTAAATATTACACAGTTAACTTGTTAAAAGTGAAGTTCAAGATTCATTTGAAATCATTCATCAAAGAAAACTTACCTTCTGTCACACTAAGTGTTAGAAGGGGTGGGGAGGATGCTCATATCTAGGTTTACTTCCAGCATAACTTGTTCCATGTGCTATGATGCAAGGAAACTGATTCCTTAGCTGAGAATTTAACATTACTGGGAAAAAAACATGCAAATCACAATTATTTTGTTATTGCTCCCGCTGCTGAATGTGATGAGACCAATAATTACGTTTCCCAAACAACAACTTATTGTAAAAAGACAATGCTTGCCTCCTTCACATAGGTAGGCTTTCCCATCCTAGTGCCCCCCAGGTTTGACAGCAAAGTCCCCAAACCCCATCTGAATCCAGAACTGGCACCATATTTTTTTCCACATGTCAAGTCCGCTTCTCATGAAAGCCTCTTCTACTGTCATTTGCCTCTCACAACTGAGTTGCACAGATAAGATTTATGTTGTCACTTTACATGGGTATGGTTGTTTTGTTGTTACAAATAGATATTTGTTACACTGTTGTTACAAATAGATATCACAGTATTTGGACAAGGCTGTATTAAGACGGGAAAGCCTGCCTGTTCAGGTGTTGAGTCTTTTGTAAAAGCTACATTGTCACACAGACAATACACATTTTTTCTGGGTTCTCCCCTCCCCACTGTTTGAGAGAACCTTTCAACAGCAGAATCATCCATAGAAAGTGAAAATGTAGCAACGTAAGATTCAATGGCTGAAATCCTGTTGCTTAGTATAGTAAGTCACAGAACAGTACACCCATCAAATCAGTGGGGATTTGGTGAGTCAATTCTACTTTAAGTTCCATTGATTCAAATGGGCTTACTCTAGTTGTGACTTACTAAGCATTGAGCTAATGGAACTTACAGAAGAGTTTACTTACTAAATCCTCAATCATTCAGTGGGCCTGCTCTAGTGCAACTTATTATGCTAAGTAACAGAATTTCAGCCAGTGGCACAATTCTCCAAGTAATTCAACTATGGAAACTAAATTTCACACTTTAAAAAATCCATTTTAAAATATGATTTCCTTTGGGAATTTTAAGCACAATTTTCTATGTTTAAAGAAAGTGCATTAAAAATAGATTGTAAAACATCTTATATTCCCTACAAGCTGATAACTATATGAACAGAAACCATTTCCTACCAGCTATTCAGAGGTGCTGCTTTCAGTGGTATGGAGCTAAACACAGACTTGCCACTTGGTGTAAGACAGTAGGAATGAGCTCCTATGAAAATATTAGTGTGAATGAGAATAAATTTTCACTTCTATTGAATAGTCAAGGAAAAGGTGAAAAAATCCCCACATTTTAAAAATATTTCTTCTCTTTAGGCCATATCAATAATTGACAATTGCACCTTCTCAGTCTCTTTTAGTCTCTTTTTATCTTGGATCTTGGTGGTGGGTTCTGATTGATAGTTTGTTTGTTTACACTGTCAGAACCAAGGATGCTTGTTGAGATAGTGATCCAACCGTTTGTAGCAATTTCTTCCTAAAGTGAAATTTGAGACGATATTACCTGTCTTATATAATGATAATAATTTTAGAACTGCAAAGCTGGAAGGGACCCTATGGATCAAGTCATTCCCTGTCAAAGAGGCATAGTGAGGAACTGAATTCACAACCTCTGTTTTTGCAGCTAACTACTTAAACTACTGAGCTATCCAGCAGTTCTTATTAAGCAGCATTACATTGGTATGACCATGGAGAGGGATTTAAGCCATTACATGTTGTCAAACTTAATTGTAGAAAAATTTCCAGGTTAAAAAGTGATCTGTAGAGACATATCCGTCTTGATTCTTTCTAATCTTAAAATCAAATTACTTGTAGAACTCCAGCTAATAATTTTTAAATTTATTTTTTGTTATCAAAGACAAAGTCCAGAAACAGTACTAAAGAATCAATTTATGGCATTGTTTTACAAAAGTTCCTACCAGACAATTACTTTTGGATGTATTCTTTATTAATGATGAGATGAACTAATCAATGAAGTTGCTAACAAAACCCAGTAAAGAAAGGTCTAGCCTGATTTTTTCATCTGTTGGTTGGAACATGTTCAGTGATCAAAACAACATCAATTGAAGGCAAGTAAGACTCTTGCCCATCAACAGGCATGGCTCTTCTAAAAGGTCACTGGTCTTTCAAAGAGAGGCACCATGTTTTAAATTCTGCACATACAAAATATGCTCATGTCACTCAAATTACACAATGCAGCAGTGTTAAAAATCTTATAGTCTATTAATGGCAAAGAAATGAGCCCAAAGCTCATATATGACTCATGAGAGGGATAAATTCTCAAAGAGACAAATAGTATAAAACAACAGATTCCCTGTCAAATGTGTATCCGTGTGCATATGTGTGAGTGCATGTAACAAAAGAAGTCCAAACAATGGCCCATCCAATTGTTCCCAGTTGTATATCCAGTCCAAACGACAAAAGGCTTTCATTTTAACTGTATGTTAAAATGCAAATCCATATCCCACAAAAGCCAACAGTTAATATGGTTTCTTGAAATAGTTTCAAAGCAAGTTGCTGTGAGTTGTCCTGCTTGTCTTTATTTGTCAGCCTCTGAATATGTGGGGTACTTGACTGTTTCAATTTTCTCTTTTACTTTGTAGGAAGGATATAAGCCTGTTTTTCCTAATTTTCTATTGATGCCTTTTGAGTAACCATCCCAATGATTTCCAGCAACACCAATTATGTCTCCAGGTTCCATAGGAATTTCATCAGCAGTTCTAGGATGGTGAGGATAAATAGCAATCTGATTGTGGGCATTTTGTCCGCCAAAATAATAAATATCATCTAAAGAGTGAAAAAAGGCAGATGCATCAGGATGTAACGTCTGCATGATTTCATAGGCAACTCGACAAACCTGGAAAAAGAAACAAAAAATGCTTTGATTTGTTCTCTTTTTTTCTAGAAAAATAGTATTATTTGGCATGTGCAATTCAGTTATTTGTGCATTCCTGTATATCCTTATCTCCAACTAAATTGAAAATCTGTTACTTTAATAATGGAATGGAACACAACTCTAATGATCATTTTACTATGTTTCACCAAAGACCAGACCTTTATATTTTAAGTTAATTAAAAAAAAACCTGAATTCCTTTTAAAGAAATGTTTCATTTCCTTGAAACTGGAGAGTGTGGTGGAAGTGTTTTGCTGGTTTACAGAAAGTTTATGATACTTTCACAACATAACTTGCTTCTTAAAACATTACTGTCACATATACAGTCCTATCTTAAATGGTTACTTCTGGGTGTGCCTTCTTCAGAATAGAATTCTGCCTTCTCAGTATTGTGAATAACTTTGAGAATAGCTGTTCTATTTTCCCCTGCTCTTGCTACAGTGGTGTAAGTCAACAGCCAAGTCATAAACACTTTCATAGGTTAGTCCTGACCTTTCACGTTATGTGATCTCTCAACATGTAATGGTGCTTTGCTGATACAGTCAACCCTCGACTTACGAACTTAATCTGTTCCGGAAGGAAGTCTGTAAGTTGAAAAGTTCGTAACTCGAATCAGTATTTCCCACAGGAATGCACTGAAAACCGATTAATCTATTCCGGCTGTTTTTGGTTCTTAGGTCGAGGGGTGATTTGTAAGTTGAAGCCAGTTAATCCATTCCTACCACTGGGGGGTAGAATTTTTTTTCTTTTTCTTTTTTAACCTAAGATGGCGTAGGTTAAAAAAAGGGCAGGACACAATGAAGGGAACGAACAAACACTGTTTAAAAAGAATACTTTTTAAATTAAGCAGCTTTTACACCTAAACAGGCATCTTTTCAACCAAGCACCTTTAAAATCAAACAAGCAGTTTTAAAGCAACCAAACACGTTTTTACCCAAGCAGGTTCTAACTCAAACCGAGCTCCCTTTTACCCAATCACCGTTTAACCCAAACAAAGCACCTTTTAAACTAAATTTTACATTTTAAAATGACAATACCAGGCAGTCCCAGGTCTCTCTTCCCACTCTCTAACTGATTGGACGAGCGAGGAAGCAGACAACAGCCTCTTTGCTAACTGAAAGTTTAAATTTCCTGCTTTCCCTGCCTTCCCCACACTTTTTTTCCATTCGTAACTTGAATCCAAGTTCGCAAGTTCATATTTTCTTATCAGAGCAGTTTGTAAGTTGAAATGTTTGTAACTAGGGCCGTTCGTAAGTTGAGGGTTGACTGTAATAGGATAGCTTCACTTAAACATCTCCCCCGCATTTTGCCATTTAATATATCCATAGTCTGCAATGATTCAGTGCATTCTCCAAAGTTGCTCAGAGCCTGTTCTGATTGGTAAAGTTGTACTACTGAGAAGTTTTCTTAGTGGCAAAGGAACATTAACTTTCAAAAGTGTGAGAGGCTAGTACCAAATAATGAGTTGGGCATTAAGTGGCTGAAATCCTGTTAGTGCAACTATATGACAATTTGTGGGCCAGATGGGCAGTATAAAAATTAAATACCGTGTTTCTCCGAAAATAAGACAGGGTATTATATTAATTTTTGCTCCAAAAACACATTAGGGCTTATTTTCAGGGGTTGTTTTATTTTTCTCATGTACAACAATCTACGTTTATTCAGATACATTCATGTCATCTGCTTGCTGCACAGTGGTGGAGGACGGGATTTCACTTTACTGCGGCTTATTTTTGGGGAATGGCTTATATTACGAGCATCCTGAAAAATCATACTAGGGCTTATTTTCAGGTTAGGTCTTATTTTCAGGGAAAGAGGGTAAACAAACAAACAAACAAACAAACAAGCACTGCGCTTAAAAAATGAGGTTTGGACAGCAGTGTACTAAAAGCCTCTGCATGTCAATCAGTCAGTTTTCCATTACAAAGGCATTTGCCTCACTAGTAAGGGTCTTACTAAGCTGTAAGTTACTTAGTAGTTATTTAGCTATCAAATCAATCTGCCAGACTTAGAGACTGCAGACATACTAGATAGATTACTAAACTATTTCCATACATGCTGGATTCCTGGCTTAGTAGTCTACACAATTAGCACACAGCTGTAGAGGATCAAGGTCAATTTAAAATAACATTTGCCTTTTAAATAGCTACCTTATTAGAACGCCTTTTTAGCAAGCTGCCACTTCCATGTGGGAATTTGAATAGTGATAAGAAAAAAGCTAGAAAAACACTTGCTTCACTGTGAGTGAAACAAAGGTTTATTCCCATCCTCTGAAGAGAGATGGAATATTTAAACAATGAAATAACTAATACCTTGATATCCAGATGCACTTTGATATAATTTATAAGGTTAATCTCAAATTGAAAAAGTAACCCTTTCAGGGAGAAATGTAAGCTATGACAGAAAACAGACTCAAACTACCAAAATGTGTTATAAAATTTTATAGTACTCTAAACGTATTTGTTCCAGTGTCATACATGATGGGAATCTCAGGAGATGAATCAGAATTTTTTTATTTCTGAAAAATTGTGACTTATGACATCATCAGCTTTTATGGCTTAACTTAACTTAACTTATTTCAGCCAGTTATATGTGTATACCTTCCACCTTGCCTACAGATGGTAAAACGACACGTCCTCTGTTTCTTAAACATTAACCAATTACTTCCAAATGCCCCAGACTGAAGACCATTTTTCTTTAGATTTCCCAGAGAAATCTAGGAAAATGGAGGGAATGTTGATTTTAAATATGAAGTAAACGAAGTACATAAAATGAATGGGCCAAATGTTCGACTAGGACTTAGGAAACCTGGATTTAAGTCTTGCTGGGCCACGAAAAGCTACCGGAAGCAATCTGTTAGGCTTACCACAAGTCAAACAACTTGAAAGGACATAATAATATGATTTCCACATCCTTTTTTTCTTATTCAGATTTATAAATAAATATTCTGTAATCATTTTGACATCATACGGTCAGGAAGCTTGGAGCTGCAAACAACTGATTACTAACTGAAGAATGGCAAATGTTTAATAAGTTACAGTATAATAAGCTTGTGTTACATCCTTTTAGAAAGGTTAGCTTTCTATGATAAAGGTCTTAGAAATGCAATGACCACAAAAATCTGGCTTCACAGAATAATATCCAATGAGGTCCTAACATTTTATATGCCATAAGCCTGACTTGCTGAATTCTCTGGAAATCTTTAATAAGTTCAGTTAAATTTAAAAAAATGCTCCATGAGGAACATAATGAGAGCCCAAATAATCTTCATTACATTCGTTTTTCACTGGGCTAAATTCGTTTTAAGTATTTTTCTGTGGCCCTTCCTTAGATCTGGCCTAGGGCATTTAGAAAAGCTCTGCTGCCTGTGACTATGATCTTGTTCTGCACTCATATTCTTCAGTAGCTTCACAAGTGTTGGGCTTAAATAAAGAGCTGGAGATAAGAATGTCTTTCTTGGCATCAGGCCCTAGGCTTTGGATAACTGGAGAAGTTTAGAACGACTAATTACTTCATGACCTTGACAGCAATGTGTAAAACCTTCCTGGTTTTAAGTGTTTCCACCAAATCAGTTAAATGGAATATGAATCAGAGGACATCAAGATGAAACACAGTTGCAGTAGAAAAAAAGGGGAAGGGACAATGAAAACTGAGCCAAGAAACATGAAAGAAAAATCAGACCAATTGCTGGGTTGTTCCTGTTTTTTTTTAGTCCTAATATTTTGGAATGATGTCAAGAATACTGATAAATATTTTAATAAAAAAGTTAGAAGATAATGAATAAACAAAATAAATTCAGACTTAGAATAATAAAATATATACCCTTTTGATAAATTTAACACAAAAATTCATTTCACAAAAGCCTAGATGTAAATACTCTATTCATCTAATTCCTGGTGGGGGGAGGGAAACACTAGCAACTGCAATATTTGTTATGCGTATTATTAGTTTAATATACATATTGGTCAATAACGCATTATTTTGGCTGTCTACCAAGTCCGAGATGGTTGAGCCGAGGTACACAAAGTCATGAACAACCTCCAATTCTTGTGTGGAGATGGTGATAGAGGGAGGTGAGTCCACGCCCTGGCCCATGACTTGTGTTTTCTTCAGGCTGATTGTTAGTCCAAAGTCTTGGCAGGCCTTGCTGAAACGATTCATGAGTTGTTGGAGGTCTTCAGCAGAGTGGGCAACAATGGCTGCATCATCTGCGAAGAGGAAGTCCCGCATGCATTTCAGTTGGACTTTGGTCTTCGCTCTCAATCTAGAGAGATTAAAGAGCTTTCCGTCTGATCTAGTCCGGAGATAGACGCCCTCGGTTGCGGATCCAAAGGCATGCTTCAGCATGACAGCAAAAAAGATCCCAAAAAGTGTTGGTGCGAGGACACAGCCCTGTTTCACTCCGCTTTGGATGTCAAAGGGGTCTGATGTTGAGCCATCAAAAACTACAGTGCCTTTCATTCCCTCATGGAAGGATCTGATGATGTTAAGGAGACGAGGTGGACATCCAATCTTGGGAAGTATTTAAAAAAGGCCATCCCTGATAAAGGTCTTAGAAATGCAATGACCACAAAAATCTGGCTTCACAGAATAATATCCAATGAGGTCCTAACATTTTATATGCCATAAGCCTGACTTGCTGAATTCTCTGGAAATCTTTAATAAGTTCAGTTAAATTTAAAAAAATGCTCCATGAGGAACATAATGAGAGCCCAAATAATCTTCATTACATTCGTTTTTCACTGGGCTAAATTCGTTTTAAGTATTTTTCTGTGGCCCTTCCTTAGATCTGGCCTAGGGCATTTAGAAAAGCTCTGCTGCCTGTGACTATGATCTTGTTCTGCACTCATATTCTTCAGTAGCTTCACAAGTGTTGGGCTTAAATAAAGAGCTGGAGATAAGAATGTCTTTCTTGGCATCAGGCCCTAGGCTTTGGATAACTGGAGAAGTTTAGAACGACTAATTACTTCATGACCTTGACAGCAATGTGTAAAACCTTCCTGGTTTTAAGTGTTTCCACCAAATCAGTTAAATGGAATATGAATCAGAGGACATCAAGATGAAACACAGTTGCAGTAGAAAAAAAGGGGAAGGGACAATGAAAACTGAGCCAAGAAACATGAAAGAAAAATCAGACCAATTGCTGGGTTGTTCCTGTTTTTTTTTAGTCCTAATATTTTGGAATGATGTCAAGAATACTGATAAATATTTTAATAAAAAAGTTAGAAGATAATGAATAAACAAAATAAATTCAGACTTAGAATAATAAAATATATACCCTTTTGATAAATTTAACACAAAAATTCATTTCACAAAAGCCTAGATGTAAATACTCTATTCATCTAATTCCTGGTGGGGAGAGGGAAACACTAGCAACTGCAATATTTGTTATGCGTATTATTAGTTTAATATACATATTGGTCAATAACGCATTATTTTGGCTGTCTACCAAAGACTTCACCATAAAAATAAGAGCTGATACCTTTTCCCTTTAGTGTTTCTTGCTTTCTGCTTTTTTTAAAAAAAGTGTAATTTAGCCACAGTATACTGAATGGAACTGATTAGTGGCTAACAACAACAACAACATGCTGTCAAATTGATTCTGATGTTTAGAGATTGTTTCCAAGGCTTGCTACATATAAAGTGCTCATAAATGAATCGTTCTCTTTTCTTGGTGTCACTCTGAGACTGTGCAACTTGCCCAAGACTACACAGGTTGACTCTTTTACCAGGAGGTGCAATGGAGAGTCAAACTCACAAACTCCAGCTCTGCTTCCATGTGTGCAACTCTCTGAGCTATCTATCCAGCTTCAGTATTGTGAAGTGCACAGTGACTATAAAACATTTGTTTTATCATCATCACTACTTACATCATCACTAAAAGGCAGCATGACATGTGCTGGTTCCACACCAGTGACAGCCTCTCAGCTTTCACAAGGACAGGCTTCCACTGGACATATTAAAACAGTCCTGATTTGTCATAACTAAATCATACATGGCAGAATATTCTAAGATGAATATAGTAACCTGGAATCTCATAAACTTCAGAATATTTCGATGGGACTATATCAACTTGTTAACTATGGTGACAAAGGATGATTTTCATGCTAAAATTATGATAAAGAACAACCTTTCAAGGCAGGATAAACAATAAATCAAATGGGTGCCCTGCTTTGGACTGTTTAAAGAAGCCTAACAACAACAACAACAACAACAATAATGCAATAGAAGAGGAAAAAGAAGCTTAAATGATTATACCAGTACAAGCAGAGAAAAATAGGCAGTGAACATGGAGGATATTTTGAAAACAAGAGAAACAAAGGCTCAATATAATAATCAACAGTTTGAAAATAAAATAAACAGCTGGAAAAATAAACCACTACGTGGACAACACCTGAAAAATATTGATGGAAAGCATTATCATAATTCAACATGGGCATGGCTAAAACTGGAGACCCTTAAGAAACAAACTGAAGGTTTGATTTTGACTGCACAAGGACAAGCACTCCAACCCAACGTGATGAAAGCTAAGATCCAAGAAATTAGTGCTAAAAGCAAATGTAAACTCTGCCAAGAAAAAGATAAAACTGTGTCGTGTCTTTTCTGCGAATGTCCAAAGATTGCACAAACAGATTACAAAATGAGACATGATAGAGTGGCAAAATTAGTGCACTGGTCAGTATGCAAATAATATAACTTGCGAAACTCAAAAAACCCATGGGAACATCAAGTACAGAACATGTCAGAAAATGAGGAAGTTAAAATCTTGTGGGACTTCCAGATCCAAACTGATAAGACACCTTGAACATAACAAACCAGACATGGAAGTGTTAGGACAAAGAAATGTCTAGACCATTGACACAGCAATTCCAGGGGATGCCAGAGTTGAACTCAAAGAATTGGAAAAATGAACAAAATAACAGTAATCTGGCAAACGAAACATCTCTCTTATGGATGGAACACACTTCAGTGGTCCCCATAGTCATCAAAGCTGTGGGAACAATATAAATAAATTTCACATAGCATTACAAACAGTTGCAGATCTTAGAAATAACATAATTATAGCTACTATGAACAGAAATATTAATAACAGCATACATACTGCACCGATATTTAATGGATACAGTTTTTTTGTAAAAACTTGTATCTATTATATATAATACCAGTCAATGTTTTTATAATTTTCATTGTGTCTGATAAATACATTGTCGTTGTTTGTGTTGTTGTTGTTGTTAGAAAACTCTAATAACTAATAATTAAAATTAAAAAATTATGAAGAACTAAAAATTTGACCTGCCTAAAAAATTAGTCTGATTTAGGCCTGTTCCGTTTTAGATTAGGCTGAACAGAGAGCACAGCGTGATTATACAGTCTGTCTCAGGAAAGAAATGCTGTTGCAAGAATCACAAAGAAAGAAATATTGCAGCAAGGATTTGAATATTTATGCCCAGCAGAAGGATCCCAGGATCTTTAATCAAAAGGAGAACTTTGAAATGGTCAGAAAACAAGGTAGATATTCGTTACATTGTTGCCTTGAATGATGTTTATCTTTAAACATCATTCTATCTATCTATCTTTAAAACTGTCTATCTTTAAAAGTATTTTTATGTGTTATATTGCATATTGTTCAATTCCAGAATCTAAAAATCAGCATAAACTTGAACAGCATTGCTGAAAAGACATGTAATTTTTTATAATCCCGTAATCTTTCCATCATGGCTAACCATCAAGACAAATTCTCTGCAGAACATGGTAATTTAAAAAACCATTAATGCAGGTAGCTAATCCATATTAGCTGCAATAGTTGAGGAACACATTAATACTGCTAAGAAAGATTTAAATCTATATTGTATTGCAGTCATGGCAATGATGTATCTGACAATGAGGCAGCAAAATGGAGTGCTCTTTTGCTTGGAAAATCAAACAGGTTGCAGATCTGTTTCTCTCAGAAAGGAAAACTGCTTTTTGGCTGTGGTCACATGGCCAGTGTGACTTAGACACGGAACACTGTTACCTTCCCCCTGAGGTGGTCCCTCTATCTACTCGCAACTGCATGCTTTCAAATCGCTAGGTTGGTGGGAGCTGGGACAAGCGACGGGCGCTCACTCCGTCGCGTGGATTCGATCTTACGACTGCTCGATCTTCTGACCCTGCAGCACAGGCTTCTGCGGTTTAACCCGCAGTGCCATCACGTCCCAGCAGCTTTTATAACAATAGCCAAAATCCTGTTGCACAGTTCTACCTGCACAATGGGAATGTCATTGTCAGCAGCAGACTGCTGCTGATTAAAGACTTATTTTTCCAATTTCAGACTGTACATGGCTCACACATAATAAGATGAAATCACATGTACTTTGAAAACAAAAGTCTTTGTGGCTAATAATTGTGTGCTACTAATGAAGGTATCATTTCTATGATGCAGTAAGATCATTCACAATAGGATTTCAATTAGAGATGGGCTGCATGTTCCCTCCCCTCCCCGCTGACTCTCCCACTCACCAGCTGGCATGTGCTGCTCATTCCCTCCCTGTCACATGATCTTCCAGTCCCAGCAGTAGTACAGACTTCCCTTCTCTGACTCCTCCAGCAGCTGCCCACTCACAGGCATTGCTACAGGAATCCCTGCCCCATCTCCTCATCTGTGTGAGCAGCTGCTAGAGGAAGTGGAGAAGGCAAGTCTATGCTCCTCCTGGGACAGTAAGATCACGTGGTGGGGAGGGAATGAGCAACAAATACCAGCTGATGAGTGGGGGGGTCTTTAATTTTGGAAAATCCCTGCTAAGGTTTCCAATCTTTCAGTGCGATCACTGCCAGCAATTTCCCAATATTAAAGGCTACATGCTCTGTCCCAAGGCTCCCCTTAGGGATCTTTCAAACTCTGGGGATGGACTGGAATTTTGAGTTTAGTTAAAGATTTCTGTCATCAGATGACCATGTCATCTGGCTTGTGCAGCATAAATTTATATCAACAGGATTCCAGCCATTAAAAATAAAGTAGGAATCATCAGAACAAAATGAATGCTATGGTAATTATCACCTTATATAATATTAGCTTATTGCTTCTAAAAAGCTGATGATAAAGTAAATATAGGTCTTTAGGTGTTTAGATCTGTTTAGGTTTAGGTGTTTAGAGTGGCCTGGTAGCCAGATGAGCAGTATAGAAGTCAAATAAATAAAAATAAATAAAGGGTCTTTTTTATATTCTTGAATTACTGATAAACAGAACTTTCACTAATGCACACTAGCTTACCTGTGAAGAAAATGTACAAACAAGGAAATCTGCCTGCGAAAGGAAATGTATATCCAGAATAACACCCCTCAGAGAGTTTTCAGTGTATCGATTATGGAGACCTGCTGACCATGATATGGAGTTGTCACTAATAAATTCATAATTTGGATACCTAGAAAAAAGGAATCAAAATATCAAACTTTCATCTTTTAAATAAAACTGAGGTTGGGAGGTTTCTATGATGACCTAACCAACAGATCTGATAAAAGAGTTTGAAAAATTTTAGTCTGCCTAAATCAGAAACCAATGAATAACAATCATTATATAATTTCCTGGTATTTACCAAAATAATCAGTTTATTTTAGTAACAAAATAGAAGCTTAAAGCTGCATTTTATCAGAAATACTGTAACTTTTATATCATTCTTGTTTTTGGAATATGTAACATAAGACAGTCCTCTTTCCAAATACACTTTTGAAATTAGCAAAACAATATTAACATTTTAGCCAAGTAACATACATCATCTCACCAATTTTGGTTCTTAGAGTTCAAAAAATGATTTTAAGGGGTACAAAAATGATTTTAAGGGGTACAAAAGTGAAGATTGTTTATACAGTCGTGCCCCACCTTACAATTACCCCGTTTAACAACGAATCTGCTTGATGGTGAGGTTTTTGCGATCGCTTTTGCGATCGCAAAACGATGGTTTGAATGGGGTTTTTCCGCTTTGCGATGATTGGTTCCCTGCTTCGGGAACCAATTTTCGCTTTACGACGATCAAAAACAGCTGATTGTCGCATTTCAAAATGGCCACCGGCTGAAGAAAATGCCCCCCTGCAGTGCTTAGGGACAGATTTCTTGCTGCACAGGCATGGAAAATGGCCACCCCATGGAGGATCTTCGCTGGACGGTGAGTTTTCAGCCCATTGGAACGCACTGAACGGGTTTCAATGCATTTCAATGGGCTTTTTTATTTCGCTTTACGTTTTCGCTCTACAGTGATTTCGCTGGAACGAATTAACGTCGTCAAGCGAGGCACCACTGTATTACAAAGCCAAAACAAGGCTAGTAGTTTTGGAACACTGATAAAATAAGAAGGCAGAAGTAACTTATTCATTTTTGTGCCAGTTTTCACAATGTAAAAAAAACACAATGCTTATGTTATGTGAACAGAGACAACAGAGGAAAAAAAAAACAGAGTGCACTCTATTTTACTGCTTGAATTATGTTTACCCATAACGTTAACTAAGATGGATACCACAAAATAGATGTGGAAACTAAAGATGGGGGTATTTGTATTCGTATACGAATATCCCCGCACAGCTGGTCTTAATGAGGGACCAGTCCCCAGGGCTGGACTGTCCACTCACATGTACTGCTGTGGCACCGGTCCTGCTCATCCTTGCAATCATGCACGGAGTGCCGCTCTCTTCCTGCTCGGCTAGCCACTCCAGGCAGGGGGGAAGGAGAATGAGTGGTGCTCCAGGTGAGATTGGAAGGATGAGCAGGGCTGGAACTGCAGCAGGACACATGAGTGGATGGTTTGGCCTTGTTGGCCAGCCCCTTGTTAAGTTCAGCTGCGTCGTCATATTCGTATTCAAATAGGAACACCCCATCTCTAGTGGAAACCTTTGTTAAACAAATGAGAATAACCATATATTGTACAGAAGAAGGTTTTACAAAGTAGTGGAAAAGAAGGAAAAGAATGTTATTTTAAGTAGTTTGCTTCTTGAAAAGCAAGTAGAAAAGAAAAACAAAAGTGTTGTTTGTTTTATAAAGTTTTAGCCTCATAATAAATAATTAATTATTCCCTAGTTCAGCATGGTAACAATGAGTATGAAATCATACAACATTCTATAGTAATTATGAATGAAACATGTAAATGTATTGTACTGCCTGAATATGGTGCTAAATAAATTACATCACCTAGAAAATGGTACTCCAAAGGAGTGTGCTACCCTAGAGTTTAGCTAATCCCCAGCTGATTGCTTAGATAGTAGATTGCTACATCAGGGCATCACTTACTCATGGGAAAACTAAAGTCCTACATCAGATTGTTTGGGCTAAAACAAACATAAAAAGTATACAAACAGAGGTTTCTATCATACAGTATTTATGGAACATCTCCTAAAGGATTCAGACAACTGTTTTTTTACAAACAGGGGAGAAATCTCTGCTTGGAATGGGGACTGGAAGACACAGACAGATTGAGAGTGGCCAGGAGATAGCCATGGGAATAACATAGCTAAAGGCAAAAACGCTTGGTGAGAAAAATATTTTTGTGTGTGTTAACGTGTTTAGAGCTTTTAATTTCGTATATTTTTACTTTTAAAAGTTTGAACACTTCTTCATGCCTATTACCAAAAACTATAAGGCTTTTTGTTTTTTATGATTTTATTCTTCAGAACTTTAAAGTGATGTAGAGAGATATGTTCTCTGCCTTTATAAGCTATGAGCTCCTGTGTTTTAATAGTTTTGTATTTTGATTCATACATGGCTTGATTATGCCTGTAACCTAAGTTTCTTTTTTTACAAGTTGCAAGAATGTATTTTAAGTAAGTCTACAGTATTTTAAGCTTACTGTTTTACATGTCTGTATGACTTTTGGATTTAAGCATATGTGCCTAAAGTTTTTTCCTCATAACTGTAAGATTGTCTGTGATAATTTTTGGATTTGCTACTTTTAAACATGGAACCTAGAAATGATGTAGATAGATGGAACTTGTATAGAATTAACAAGTTCTGGGGTAGCCTGGAATTACTGTAACAATTAAGACACCTATAATGAGATACCCAGGAGCTTTACAAACAGCTTGTTACTGATTATTTGGTTTCATTCCAGTATTAACCCTTTACTGGGATAATATCACCTATGATGAATCAAAGAATCTGTTATCTTTGCCTGGAAAGTCTATAAACCTTTGTGGGACTCCTAGGGGGGTCCGTTGTCCAAATCAGAACTTGATATGCTCATAAATACAGAGTAGAATCTGTTTAGGTCAGCGTAAGGGTAACTGCATAAATTGGAGTGGCAAATTGCTGTTAAATAAAACATTGCTGTTGCCATTCTTGGTTATTTGCTGATCATATGATTAGGAAAAGCCTGCCTCCTCTTCAGGCAGGCTTCTCCTTAATGACTGGTGGTCTGAGATGGATTTTAAAGGGATTGTTGTGCTCTGTTGTTTAAAATGTGTTTTAATATTGATCTTAGTTACCATTTTAATGTAATACTTGTTTAATATTTGCATACTTGTTTTTAGCTTTTAAATAGTTTTAATGATGCAAACTG